AGTAGTCAAGGTTATCAGGCACCCTGTTTGGAGTGATTAACTCCTAGACTAAATGCCTTTGAGAATTTTTAAGTTCTCCAAGGGCAGAGACTATCTTTTCGGTTTCACACAGCTCAATGCTGATCACATGATGTATGCTTAGGTACATATTGAAGTAATTAAAGCAAAAAGCAAAGTTCAAATGAAATCATGTTGAACAAAAACAACAATAGCCATGATATTGAAACATTTAAACAAGGTATGTTGATACATGCCTGTAATCCCAGCACCTTAGGAGGCAGATGCAGGAAGACTGCAAGTTCCAGCCCAGCCTGGACAACTTAAGGACCCCGGGTCGCAATAAAAAACAAAAAGGGCTGAAGATGTAGCTCAGTTCACCAAAGGTTCTGAGTTCAATTACCAGCACCATATACAAATACAGGCACAGAAGATTTAAGTGAAAGGCGCCAATTTCTTTTTTTTTTTTGCCTTTTTGAGACAGGGTCTCATTATGCAGTTCAAGCTGGCCTGGAGCTCACTTTATAGTCCAGGCTGGTCTCGAACTTGCAATGATCCTCCCAACCCTCAGCCACCCAAGTGCTGGGGTTATGGGCATGGAACACCATACTCAGCTTGGGCTCCAATTTCTTTGTTCAGTAATTGTTTATGTCATTTAATTGATAAGAATTCTTATAAAGAATTAAAATGAAGTTTAAGGATTAGCCGCCAAAATTCCAACTGGGTGAGAAGGATAAAGATATTTCCCAGGCAGGCTTATCTCACTTTTATCTGTAAAACATAGCCAACAAATTCTCTGAAATCTTTATTATCACTAAGTACGACCTATTTTATATAAGCCATAGGACCTCGAAACTTGGTTACAAACACGTTTTACAATGGCCCAAGTGCAAAGGCAGAGTCCCTGAAGTCTTGATAAGGATAGCTGGAAAGCTGGAAGGGACATGTGGGTAGATAAGGTTTAAGCATAGTTTCACCTTTATCTTCCCAGCCTGAAGATTTAGGACTTAATTCTGGTAGTCAGGATCCTTCAGTGGAGAAATAACATGACAGAAAAAAATGGTTTTCCCTTAATATTAGGCTGGGCAGGAGAAATAATAGAAATAGATGCAGACAGTAGACAATGGCAAGCACTGTGATAGAAAACAAATCACTGTATATTCACTTAGAAAGTATACTGCCTTCATATGGAAAACAAATGAAGGATTAGCCTTTCAATTAAAAAAATTAAAACTGCCCTGTCATTTTGCTAATCATCAAAAAAGGACAAACTTGTAACAGCTGTTGTTGGTTTGCCTCTGAACCAAACTATATCCTTGTGTAATTCTGTTCCTCCTTACCACATCCCACAGTTACGGCAGTAAAATGTGGGGGCAGGAGTATTAGGCAAATAAATAGAGCACCTGGCACTAAAACAGTTGAATCATGATAGCCATCAATTCTCAGTCCCTACATCTTCTTGTAAGTACATGAGGTACTTTAAGCTTCTGGCTGGATCAATTTTCTCTTTTGTTTTCCAAGAGACCAATTCCTGTTCCAAAGATCTGAAGAAGTCTGAGAGTCAAGACATATCAAAGCCAATAAATCCAAGTCGTTCATTTATGCAAACATTAATATTTATTGTTACGGGTATTTTTGGATTCCACAGTGAGCAAAACAGATTTGTGCTTTAGAAAGTACACATTCTAAAAGGAACTAACATACTTGTGTCTCTGAAATCATCCTATCTAGGCTAGAGGGGCAGCTCAGGGTACAGTCTTGTCTAGCATCTTCAAAGCCCTGCAGTCAAAGCCCACCAACACTGCACCAACTTACTAATGTCATTATCACTAAAGGAATAACTCATATGTATTAAGCACTTGGTAAGTACTGAAAAAAATTCACATTAACTAGATGACAATGTATTATTTTATCATAAACATCTGTTTTTTAAAAAATCCCTCTTACTGTCTTGTTAGGCTTGCAGCCTTTTTTCCCCCCTGAACTCACTCAACCAAAAACAAACAAACAACAAAAATTTTTATAAACCATAGATTTTCTTATTTTTTTGGGAGAAAGGATATGACAAGAAAGCTGAAGGAGATTTGTCTTATAAAACTCCCAGGCCTTCTAACTAGTTTGATTTAGACTTGCCCAAGTCTTCTACAATTGCAATTCTACCTGCAAATAATACACAGGTAATTTCTTCAGCCAGCATTGCTTCCTAAACAAGAGTAAAATATATAGAAATGTAATCTCTGATTCTCCTAGAAATTTTGCTAGGTTTGGATACAGAAAGATGAGTCTAGAGTGAACTGTGACCCTGAAAGCATGACAGAAAGACTCTTTATAATAAAAAGTATTTTGATGGGGATGATTCAGAAAGAAGAACAGGAAGGGGAGAATAAACAGAGGCAACCAGATTGCAGGAACCTTAAATTCTACACTTGATGTTCAATGCCAATACTCTTGTTATTCTGTAATCCGATCTGCCCTTCCTCCTAAATCTTCTATAAATTTGCCACACAAACAAAGGCTTCATGCGAACATCATTCCCTTTATATACTTTTCTAGCTTCTCTCAGATACAGCTATCCAACCACTGCCTCACAAACGTCTCAACCATTCACGTAGGGCCTCAATGGTTTGGTCCCGAAAAGAACTCATTATCTTCCTTCCCTGAACTCTACCATCAACTGTTTCCAACTATTTCTTCTTGCAGCCTGCAACGCTGTACTGGCTCACTAAAGGAACAACTAATATTTATAAAGCACTTGGAATGTACCAAGTAGTGTGCCAAGGGCATTACACGCATAGTTTCACTTGATCCTCAAACTCTACTCAACAGGTACTATGATAAAACACGTATGATAATATACCGTATCTTAAATATAGGGAAATCAAATTCAGTTAGGATAGTAAGTCTATGGCTAATGAATAAAACTAGAATTCCACCCCTGTTCTGACTGCACTTCCAATTTAACCAGTATGCTCCTATACCCCAAGGCAGAATCCTATCTAGTCAGTTACCTAGGGTCAGCTTCCTGGTCTGATCTAAGTGGCACATTATCTTTGTATGCCTTCACTTAGAGTGACAACTATCATTACCTAAGTACTTACTACCTACACCAAGCACTTTTCTAAAAAATTTGTGTTTTATTCCCCAAACTCCAGGGAATGAAGAGGTTATGAATGAGAACTTGATTCAACCACAGATCTGGTAGAGAATCCTTGAGCATGCAACCCCTACATAGTAACCATCTCCTAGTTTCTCAGCCCCCAAATCTAGACTCCTACTATCCTCTAGACATCTAGACAAATGATATCACGACAGTCTCCTCTGTAAAATTAGCAGCTCTGTTATCACTGAGTGAATAAAGTCCAAATTTTGTAATGTAGTATACAAAATCACTTTTCTGCTCAAATAGTTCAATAAATATTTGAGCACTCACTACAGGAAGGGCAAAGTACCCAGGTACTTTGAAATAACACATCAACCTGACCCTGACTTCAACCCCAGACCCTATATCCTTCCAACAGATCTGACAATGCAACACCCTAAAAATACATGCATTTAAAATGGAGTTGGCAAAATCCCACATTCGAAGAGTGCCTGCAGGAAGCCTTCTTTAACGAACTCCAGATAAAAGTTCCCTTTTATAAATTCCTACAGCACTTTGCTCAACTTTCTTTCAAGTTAATTAGTGAAACAGAGGTATCAGCTTTTGCGACTCTTGAGGAACTCTGGAAAAGACCGTTGCCATCAAGACTGGCATGCAGTGAGCACTTTATGAAGAGCTAAATGTATAAATAAGAAGCAATTTCAAACAGGAGGAAGTAAGAACATCACCACGTAAGCAGGCTGAATACAAATAGGGTTAATTCCACTCTGCTTCCAATTTGGTCTACCGTTTATCCCAGGAGGAAAACTCACATGGTGGTAAAAGTTGGACAAACTAAAAGGCAAAACTTTATTATTCCTGGCGCAACAAAGCACTGACAGGTTAAACAGGATACTAGATCTCTACCCTCCTTTCAACTGCCAAAGTCCTTTTTCCAAAGGGATGTGGGGATGGAAATCTATCAAATAGAATTGATTTACTGAAATCCAACTTCATTGGCTTGTCACAGAACACGCAACAGAAAAATCAAAATCTGTCCTGGGAAGAAAGCCAATTTCCAAGTAAGTACTGTTGCTACAAGAATGTGAAATTCTGAAAGCAAAAACAGTTCCAATAAGCCGAAGCTCACAACTGTTTCCTCCTGCTGCACTTCTACAGCTTTTCAGTCGGGTTATCTCTTGATTTCTGTGACTGAGGAATAAAAAGCTAGACAGTAAAGCCCACGCAGTGAGTGGTTTCAAGATCTACAATCTTAAACGTAAAAGCAAGTATTAGAAGAAACGACACGTAAGTCAAAAATCCTTTTCTAAAACGTGGCACAAGACTCTGAAATGCGAGTGCTGTATTCCCTCGGGGGGGTTCTTTGTGTGCTACTGCTTCCACATTGAGAACCATATTTTGAAATTACCTTCGGGCAGATGTCAAACCTCTCCCCCACCGTCTCCAGCATGCAGAGAAAGGTGAGACTACACAGGCAACAGGCAAAGAGAGAAAGCTCTCTCCGCTGTCCTTCCTAGGGGAACAAAACCTAGGCGAGGGCAGCTAGTGCCACTCTCCCGACTAATACACACACGAAATAAAAACCTCATCTTCCACCTCGTCTCTTCCTTAAAAAGCAAACGACGCGACGCGGAGGGCTCCAAGGTGGCGGAAACCAAGCGCTAACAGCCGGGGCCGCCCGCCCTCCACGCGCCTGCACTGTAGCGGGCTCTGCGCTCCGTATCCACAGCTCCGCAGCCGGCTCCACGCTGCCTCCGCAGCCCGGGCGGGCAGGGAGAGCCCAAAATCGGCAGCACCCGGCGGGCAGCGGCTCCAGCCCACACCCAACGCCGCCCGCACCTGAGGCGGCGGCCGGGAGCCGGCGGAGGGCGCGCAGCGAGACAGGCAGGGCAAAGTTACTCACTGGGAAAGCGCGGCCGCCCGGGGCGAGCACGGGCTCCCGGCGCCGCAGCCCAGCGCCAGCTCCCGCCTTCTGTGGCCCGCTGAAGGACGAGCCGGGAGCCGCTCTGCCGGGGCTCGCTGCCGCCACAGCCACCAATTTCCTGGCAAGAAGCAAACTCCGGCCAAGACTTCACTTCTCAACCGCCCCTGCTGCCTTCCGGGGGGCGAACGCCCGAGCCCGGCGGCCCAACCCGACATGCACCTGGACCAATCGGCGGCGGTGCAAGGCGGGAGGTGGGCGGAGCGGAGGACAGCCCCACCTATCGGAGCGCGCCGTGGGCGGGCCGGGCCTGGCCCAGGTTAGAGTGAGCCCGCGCCGCCCGCCTGCCCTCCCCCACCCGCCCCGGGCTGTCCCTGCTGCTCGCCTGATTCTCCAGCAAGAGACGCTGGAGAAATCTTGGCGCGAGGAGAGGGAGCAGCTAGGGGGGGAGGAGACGGCTCGGGGAGGATGGGGCAGGCGGGAGGGGAGAACAGGTGGCGCTGGAAGGTAGCAGCGTAGGTGTGCTGGGCAGCGGACTGCAGGGCAGGGCCTGGACCGGCCGGGGTCCGGAGGGGCGGAGTAGGGTGATCGCGGAGGAGGAGGAGAAGAAAGAGGAGGAGAGAGCACCTAAGGCCCGGGGCGGGGGCGCCCGGGAACAAAGGTGAGAGCCCGGCTCCTCCGGTGCGGTGTGAACGGCCAAAGGAGAAAGGGAAGGAAAGTCCCGGAGGGAGACACGCGCTCGGGAGTGGGCAGGGTCCCGGAAAGAAGGCGGCGGGGAGGCCTAGGGGAAGTTCCTCTGCGTCCCGCAGCCGCCCCCCCCGGAAGGACAGACGCGTGTCTTTGGACGGAGTTGAGGTGTGCAGCTCCCAGACCGCAGTGAGATAAATACCGTCTTAATTAAACTCTAGTAATGTGTTGTGAGTTCACTTCTTCGCACGTTATCCTTTCCTTTTTTGAGGCGTTCTGATGAAGGACATGCTAACTCTGGTATCCCAGGAAAGACCCATGAAGACGGGGCTCCAGAACAGCTCCGTCCCGCAACGGACCAGGCTGCAAGTCAGAAACATGCCACATCCCGGTCCGGGGCAGGGCGGGGACAAGGGCAGGTGAGGCCCCGCCCCGGTCGCCGGCACCTGCGGGCGGCACCGCGGCTGCGCGCCGGCGCGGGCGGGGCCCAGGTGTCGCAGGCTGCCGCGGCGGCGGCCGGGCGTGCAGGACCGCGACAGGTGAGAGCGCAGCCGCGCGAGCCCGCCTCGCTAGGGGCGGGGCCTGGCGCCAGCCCCGCGCGCCGGTCCGGCTCCGCCCCGCTCCTTCCGTCGCTGGCTTCTTCCTTCCTTCCTGCTTTGCCCGCGCGTTTGGCGCTATGGTACGGAGCCTCCGTTCTTCCCGCACCACATAAGGACTCCGCAAGCCGCCCCGCGATGGAAGAGGATCAGGAGCTGGAGAGGTAACGGCGAAGGAGATGGGAAGGGCGGGGCGGGGCGGGCCGCGCCGGGGAGCGGTGGTGGCCGAGGCGCACGCGGTCGGGCCCGGTGGCAGCGGCTCCTCGGGCCGAGGAGGAGGGAAGCGCAGCGAGGCGCGCCAGCCTGTTTGGGAGGCGGGGGTGGGGCGGGGAGGAGTCGTGGGGCTTGTTTCCATGGAGCCAGTGGTCTGGGGAGACTAGTAGGAAGACCGTAGTCCAGTCCGTTAGCTTTTCTCCGTGTGAAGTTGCGACCAGGCCCTGTTCCTGGGGCTGCTCCTGGCGTGGGGAGTCAGGCCTAAGACCCTGTAACTGCCACTCTGACCTCTGTGCGGGCTGCTCAGGAAGCCCAGGCGTTGAGTTTTCTCCCTCCTGCTAGACTCATTTCACGTCTTCCACTTCCCGCTTTCCTTACCTCTTGCAAATGGAAGCCGTAGTTGGCCTGCACGTTGATTCATCTGTTAGTTTCTATTTCTGTACTAAAGCAAACTTTTTTTCTCGCCTTTCAAGTCCCTTTTTGTCCTACAGTAGGTCCCACTTTAGTCCTGTCCCACTCTCGTGACTACCAGATTAGTACTTTTGCATAGTTAAGTTTGTGTTTTCCTAAAAAGATTCCTGTCGTGGGAAATGTGGACGGTCAAATGGAGGAAGGAGAAACTGGAGACAGAAAAACGAGAGGCTGACAGTTCTGTGTAAATGTGGGGTGGATTAATGTGTTGCAGTTGCAGTATAATATATGGGAAAACTAGTCACAAAACAATATTCAGTATGATCTCATTTTTATAAAAAATATGTGTGTAGAAAAATATCTGGAATGAAGACCTCAATGGCTGAAGGCGAGAGGAAGACAGCCCTGGAAATGGTCCAGGCAGCTGGAACAGATAGACACTGTGTGACGTTTGTATTGCACGAGGAGGACCATACCCTAGGAAATTCTCTACGGTACATGATCATGAAGAATCCGGAAGTAGAATTTTGTGGTTACACTACGACCCATCCTTCAGAGAGCAAAATTAATTTGCGCATTCAGACTCGGGGCGCCCTTCCAGCTGTTGAGCCATTTCAGAGAGGCCTGAGTGAGCTTATGAATGTCTGCCAGCATGTGCTTGACAAGTTTGAGGCCAGCATAAAGGACTACAAGGAGCAAAAAAGCAACCAGAAATGAATCCATATTCTGGATACGAGGAGGATCCTTTAAGATACTCTGTTCATGATTGTACAGACCTCAGAATTAGAAATTTGTGATTACATGCTCTATTCTTTAGCAAGGTATGGTTCTCGCTGTTGATCGATTATAACTGTTTGAATCCCAGCAAGAACTTGTATATTCATCGAATAAATTCCCTATTTTGTTTCAACTTCTTTGAGTGGTTTGTGTTCCTTGCATCCAAATAATTTGCAATGATGTCCCCTCCCCTTTAATCAGAAGCAAGGAAACTATAACACAATCAGGGGCTTAGACAAAGACTTTGATCATGGAATTGAAAAATGTATCCTTCCTGTCTGGTTGCATAATAGAGAAAAAGGCACTGGAAAATGACCCAGTAGACTATAGTCATTTTAAAAAGAAAGAAATAAAAATTGGGATCGGACTTGATTTCTTGGTAGATTGTTCAGTAATGAAAATTACATCCTCTCCTTTGGTGGATTGGGCAAGGGTGGGGAATTTAATTTCAAAGAGCTGTTTGAATTCAGGTTTTGCAGGAGTGGTAGGCCGTATTAAGCTCCATCTTGATAGCATTTATAAGATAAATACCAATTTACTGCTTAAATTTCAAGATACTAAGAAAATATTTAGTTATGACCTGAGTAAGCCAAGAGATGTTATAAGAGGAAAAAGCTGAGGTAATCAGATAACATTTTCAGTCCTTAGGTTGGTGTCCAAGTATAGCCTAGGGTTACATACTTTTGAGACTTAGGATAATGAAAAGTGGAAAAATGACATTTTTGGAAGATTGAAGTAATAGTGAATCACATCCAAGAGCCACTTTTTAAACCTATTTTCATACCTGTTTTATTCTACCATGGCTCTTTATTCACTCTAAATATCTTTCCGTAAATCCAAATATCAGACCACTTAGTGAAGGCCCCTGTGGTTTGGGTTAAGAGATGTGGAGGCAGGACATTGAGAGGCTGACAGTTTGTAATTAAAGTGGGTTAGTATATGGAGAAAACGCTAGTCACAGAACAGTATTCAGTGCGATCTCATTTTTATAAAAACATGTGTAAAGCCGGGCGTGGTGGCTCACACCTGTAATCCCAGCACTCGGGAAGCTGAGATGGGAGGATCATTGCGAGTTCGAGACCAGCCTGAGCTGCATAGTGAGACCCCATCTCAAAAAAGACCAAAAAAAAAAAATGTGTGTACCAAAATACGCAGATTGAAGACCTCAATCTAAGGGCCTTTATCGATCCTGTTCCCTCTTTCTGGTGCAGCCTTAGGCAAAACACTTCTCAAACTCCCCAACCTAGTTTGGGTGCTTCTGTGTGCCCTCATTACACTACTTTCTGATCCCCATATTTACTATACTGTTGGCAGGACTTAAGCTGTCTGTCCAACCAACTTGTTCATCATGTGAACTGAGTAACTATCACAACACCTGACAGATATTGGACATTTGGTAAATAGATTTGTGTGTTTGTAGCATAGCAGGCAAGGAGAAGTGCCTGACCTCTAGGTGATTAAAAGGGTAGTCTTTCGGTCACCTGTTCTAACTTTTCACAAAACCTACGTTCCTATATTTGGTTTACTTTAAGACATGAGGTATAATAGGCTCAACTCTCTTGGAGGGGGCACAGCATTAAAACGGTTGTAATTCTGTGAGAGAACCAAGTATGGGGACAAGGTAGAAAACATGGGAGGAATCTGCTTTACGCGCTAGGGAAGGTCTTTCCAGGGATTACAGAAGTAGGCTGTGTGGTATGGGGGGAATACCATGTGCAAAGGTCCAGAAACAGGAAACATGATTTGAGGAATTAAAGTATTGCAAAAAGATTTGCATGTTTGTAACATAGTAGGCAAGGAAAATGGTCTGACTTCTGGATTCAATAAGATGAGCTAGGGTGTTAAGGAGGTTGAATTGTAAGTACAGCAGGAATGACATATTAATTATGGGAGGAGAGGTGAACTACGGGGCATCCAGAGTAGAAGCAGAAGTGACAGTTAAAGCGGCCTGGAAGAGTGGTACACTAATTATAGGAAAAAGAGCATGGACTTGAGATAGTGTTTTAGAACAATGTAAGTTGGATTTGAATGGATAGACCTGAAGAATTGGATATTGAAGGTGAAGCAACAGAAAGCTCCTATTTACATTTGAGGCCCAGTTATTGAAATGAAATGTAAATGAAATAAAGTGTAAAGGTGGAAAAGGCGATAGAAATCAGTTTCATTTGGACATCTTAGGCAGTGTATATGTGAGATGGAGGCCACAGAAGAGAGAGATCTGCGCTGGAAATGAGCTTCTTTGAGTCCTTGCCATAAAATGTTACAAATCTGTAAAATTGGGGAGTAACAAAGAAGTAGGCCAGGAGTCAAGCGCTGGGCAACTTCAGTATTAAGAGTAACTAGGTGAGATGGTAGGAATGTTGGCAGACAGTAGAGTTGTAGACGTTCAAAATGGGAAGAGGGATGTTGAATGAGTCCTATAAGTACTAAAAAATGTCAGCTGGAGTGCCTAAAAAGGGTAGAAATTTAATGTGCATGATGCAGAGAACTGACAGAGCTCACCAGTGAAGACACAAGAACATTAGAGAAGTAGGTTCTTCAGGTTGGAGCCAGGATAGGGAAAGATGAGAGTCAAGGGGCAAGGATGGAAAATATTCTAGGGTGAAGATTCTGGGAAGCTAATGTCAGTGTAGAGGAATTAGCATTGGGAGAAGTAAGGAAGCCCAAAAGGAGTTGTGGAAAAGGATCAAAACCCGTCTTATCTTCTAAAAATTGCGTGTGTTGGAATAATAAAGATTATTGGTGTGGAGTTTAATTCTCAACCAAGGCCTGTCAAGAGATGTAAACATAGTTCAGTCAGTGGGCACCCAGGTATAAGATGATGGCAGTGTTGAAGTAATCAGTAACAGTACATGTGGGAAATGTTCCTAATTGTGACCACCACTGCATCTTGTGGCTTAGTCACACATTTACTGTCATTGATCATGGTGTAGTTTAGGGTGGCCATAAATAATGATGTTTTTACAAAATGCCTACAGAAGGCAGATAAATGGGTGAAAGGAAAAAACTGGGCAGAGCAGACAAGATAAGGAAGAGGGAAGGAACCATCGCATGAAGACTACAGACTAAGGGAGGGCTGTACTGAATATCATTGCATACGCAAAGCTTTTAATATATAATAATTTCAAGTACTTGCTAGCATTTTCCATTTTGAAAACACTTTACAAACTGGTTATTTGTAAATTGCATCTGTCTAACATCTAAGTGCTCTAATTGGCATACCTTACAGGATCCTGCAAAATCTTTGTAGAAATTAAAAGGTATTTGCATTAAAATGATCCATTTAGTACTAATTCAAAAACTTATTAAGTTCCATAGCCCACAGTTCACCCATCTTTTCATTCTTCTTAAGCGTGTTAATAAGATTATAATCTCCAGATCACTAGACAAAAAAATTTGGGTGGGGTTAGCAGAATTTAGACTTAGATCTTTTTTTAATGCCCTTCAAACTGAGCTCCCAGAAAATTTGTGCAAATCTAATGGTCTGCTTTCAAGGCATATAGCCCTTTCCAGATATAGCCCTTTTCTGCTCAAACTCTGAATGTTGATTTTTCTTTTGCTAAACTTTTAACTGTCCTAGTACAGTAACTGTAAACCTGTATTTCGTTCAATAGTGAAATTCCTCCAAACCCTAGATTATGGAACCTCAAATCGTTTAACTCTATATACCTAATAGCACCTGAGAAATTGTGGAAATAAGAGATTAAATTATGAATGTGTCCTAAAAAGTCTTGTAGGTTTGAACACAACAAGTGAATTGTATACATGAAAAGATAACTTGTATCTATAGTGAAATGTCCTAATAATGCATGTTGAGTAGAGCAAAAATAGGTGAGAGACACATTAGTGAAGTGATTGTCTCAAGAGCATCCTCTCTTACAACCACTGTCCTTGGCACTGAGGATAGCAAACAAGACAGACATAATCTGCTTTCCTGGAACTAAAAAGAATATTAAAGTTGGTGGGCTGGTTTAAAAAAATGTCATATATATATATAACATTGCAGGACTAATAGGCTTCCTCTTTCCCATTGTAAAGGAGCTATTAAAGATACTTGAGCTAGGAAATGCTAAAAGTTTTACTTTTATCCTGTATCTGTGCAGCAGAACGGGTAGGTGGAAGGAAGCATTGGAAGACAGCAGTGAGTTAGGTGGCATTTGTAATCATACAGGCGTGATGTAAAGAGGGAGTAGTTGTAGAAACAGATTAAAAATTAGATACAGAAAATTGCTGAAACAAGGTAAGAGACAGATTGTGTGTAGGAGTCAAGGTGAGATGAAGTTGAAAATGACCCCAAGAAACTTCAGAGCCCTGTATCCATCTTCATTTACTCCTGGGCCTTCCTGTCACTCCCTGACAAAACCAGTGAAGCAGGATTTACCATCTTCTCTTCCCCAGCCTGAACTAACAGGAGTCAGTAGGTTCAACACCTGTATTCACCTCCTTCCCCACCCCGCAGAGCGATTCACATCGAGGAGGTACAGAAGGAAGTGCTGGGTGTGGATGAGGGTGCAAAGGGGAGCAGAAGGGCTCTTGCTATTAGTTTTTCACCAAGTTGCTTTTTGCAAAAGAACATTTCATTCACGGTTCTGTAAATACTGAGCAGCTCCTGTAGTCTACGGAGGGATGGTTTCAGGACCAGGGATACAGCAGGGAACTAGTTGGCCCGGTGGCTTATTTTCTAAAGGCAGGGTTAGAGAACAGACAAATGCATAAATATGCAGTCCACTTTCAGGAGATGATATAAGCAGGAAGCAGGAGGACAGTGGCCACGAGAAGGCGCTGAGATTGAGTGGTTAAGGTCTTTATGAGAACTTAAGCAAAGAAATGAGACTATAGAGAAGTGAGCACAAGCCCAGACATTTTAAGAAGATGAACTTAGATAAATTAGCAGTGAGAGAATAAAATTATGAACCTTTTTGAAGGAATAAGTTTTATAGTTAAGGTTTGTGTGTGTGGTTTTTATTAATGTCTAAATTTATCATTTAACTAATCTATATATACATTTACTAATTATAGTAAAGAATATGGAGTTACCGTGTGAGGACATGGGATATGAAGTTTAGTGTGGGTGTTCTAGGTTGGCTGATAAATGTGTTTGTAGTGGGTAGATTTTTTTTTTTTTAATGGAGA